AAGTGAGGTCGTAGTTTGGATGGGAGATTACTGATGTCGAGATTGCGGGTGTCGAGTAGAACTTGGTCTCCCATAGTGATGGTGTGGTCATTGCGGTGGCGATCGGCCTGGCGCTTCTGTTGTTGCTGAATGTCGAGGAAGCTGGGGGTCTCCCAAAGCTGATGCATGGCCGTGAAGAAGTCGTGTGCAGGTTGGACTGTGGCTGATGCTGTCGATTTTTGTGGGCGTGAGCGGGTGGCATCCGTAACAGAGAAAGAACGGCGTCTGTCCAGTAGAGGCGTGAGTGGCGTTGTTGTAGGTAAACTCCAGGATGGGCAGATGCAAGTCCCATTTGGAGATTTTGTCTTTGCATGCTGCGCGAAGGAGTTGCTCTACAATTTGGTGTAGGCGCTCGGTCTGTCCATCTGTCTACGGATGGTAGGCGATGACATGGCGAGTTTTGTCCCGAGCAGAGACATCATTTCCTTCCTGAACTTGCTGGTGAACTTGGGACTTGGTTGGAGATGGAGTTGGTGTGGTGTTGGAGATGATGTAGCGAACGAAAAGTTGTGCTGTCTCTTCGGTGCGTGTTGTCGTGTGTGTCAAGATGAAGTGTCCATTTTGGAGAATTTGTCGATGAAGACGAGGATGCGTTCATGACGCTTATGGTAGTTGGTAATCCGGTGACGAAATCCAGGCTAACCTCTTGCCATTGTTGTTCTGGGACAGGAAGAGGCTGTAGTAGTCCTGCTTTTTTTCTACTTGCTGCTCTTCATCCGCTGATATGTAGCACACGAGGAGACGAATTGCTGGACGTCATCTGCCATGTGGGGCCAGAAGTAGTGCTTTGCAATACCGGTGAGTGTTTTGTTGCTACCGAATTGTCCCACGTATAGGACATCGTGGTATTCTTCGAGCAGTAACTCCCACAAAGGAGGGTAATTGGGTACCCAGATTTTCGTTGATCCCTTCCGACACACGATGTCATTGTCCCACTGTAGCAGGTGTCGCATTTCTGCTAAAGGAATTTTGGGGTCCATGGCGTACCCGTGTGTGAAGAGTCCCTTGAGTAGTGGATTCATCCCTTCGATCTGAATAGCGGCAACGTGTGCAGGCTGGCTGAGGGCGTCTGCTTTGTTTTTGTGGCCGGGCTTGTACACGATGTCGTAGTGGAAGTATGTCTCGAGGAAGTCGATCCACCGGACCAACAAGGTTGGGTTGTGTCTTCAAATATTTCAGGCTACAGTGGTCGGTGTAGACGGTTGTTCTTCGTCCTTCGAGATAACATCTCCACGCTTTGAAGGCGATGATAATAGAAAGGGCCTCAATGTCGTGTATTGGGTAGTTTTGTTCTGCCCCGTGTAGTTTCTTGCTGAGGTAGGCGATTGGTTGCAGTCCACTCCCGTGGTCTTGCATCAAGACTGCTCCCACCGCCTGGTCACTAGCGTCAGCTTCGATGACGTAGTCACGTTCGGGGTCTGGCAAGATGAGTACAGGTGTGGACGTGAGTGCTTGTTTCAGCTGCTCCACGGCTTCCTGGTGTTTTGGTTCCTACTTCTAGGGCGTGTTCTTCTTCAGCAGATTCGTGAGTGGTGTTGCGATTTTCGCGTACTGTGGCACGAACCTGTTGTAATAGTTAGCGAAGCCTAGGAACTACTGCAACTCCTTCACGTTCTTGGGTGTCTTCCACGTGCGTACGGCTTCGACCTTCTTGGGGTCGACGTGAATCGTTCTCGTCGGAGAATGCCAAAGACGCGTCGCAGGTGTTGGACGTGCTGCTGCATGTTGCGCAAGTAGATGAGGATGGCGTCCAGGTATACCACCACACATTCGTCTAAGAGTGGGCATAGAATATGGTTCATTTCAGCTTGGAACCTTGCCAGTGCGTTGGTGAGTCCGAACGACATTACCAGATACTCGTATGACCCGTACCCAGTGCGGAAAGCAGTTTTGTGGATGGAATTGTCCGCCATTCGTATCTGCCAGTATGCGGACCGCAAATCCTGTTTGGAAAATACCGTGGCTCCCCGAAGCTGGTCAAGCAGGGCATCGATTCATGGGATTGGGTATTTGTTCTTGATGGTCTGCTTGTTGAGAGCTCAGTAATCGATACACATGCGCAGGCTTCCGTCTGGTTTCGGTGTGAAGAGTACTGGGGCACCGTATGGCAAAGTAAATGGTCGGATGAGTCCTTTTGCGAGGAGATACTCGATCTGTTTCTTCATGTCAGCTAGCTCCGTGGGGCTGAGCCGATATGGTGCTCGGAAGGTCGCTTCGAAAGGTACGATCTCATGTTCGTTCGGTATGGCGGCAGCTCGCTCGGAAGGTCGTCGGGAAGAATGTATTGGAACTCCTTCAGTAATTCCTTGATTTTCCGTGGAGGTTCCGAGGTTTTCTGTCCATCGCTTTCAACATCCGTCGCTATCGCCACGAACCCGGTGTCGGTTTGCTTTACGTCCTTCTCGAATCTTGCGAGTGTCTCCACTGGGATATCTCCTGTATCGTCCCAGTTGGGTAGCTGGACTCTCCTTCCATTGTTGTAGATGCTTGTGGTACGATTTACCCAGTTGATCTTGGGATTGAAGATTTTTAGGAAGTCTCGCCCGAAGATCAAGTCAAGCCCTCTTATGTTGGTGATGGGGAGGGCAGGTTTCTAGCGCAATGGTCTGATTTGTAGGTGTAACACCGCTTCGCCGTGTACTGGTAACTTGCTGCTGTCCACCATCGTTGCAGAGAATGCTGAAGGCTTGTACTCTTCCCGAAGTCTGTCGATTACTGCCTTCTCGCAGATGCTGCGTGATGCTCCGATGTCCACGAGTGCTTGGAGGCGTCGTCCTTTGCAGATGACCTCGAGCACGAGGGGTGGGCTTTGCTCGGAGTACCCAAAGATAGTTTCGCAAATAGGATCATAGGGTACATCCCAATATTCCATACACACCTGTTTCTTGCTATCTGCTCGTGGGTTAGCAGCTGGCCGAGGCTGCTTGGAGAAAGTCTCTCCCTTAGGATCCAAAGCTTCCTTGACGGCTGTGTGTGTCGTTGATGCCAAATTTGCTGTGCTGGATGCATCCGAAAGAGGATTTCGGGTTTTTGCAGCTTTCTTGTAGACCCCCAACTTTCCTCTTGAGCTGCTTCAGCTCCACCGACATCTTTCCCTGGGGAACTGGTACTCGTTGTGGGCTGGTTGTCAGGAGAGGAGGTTGACTCCGTGGAAAGGTCGGCTTCTTTCCACACTCCTTAATTTAATCCCCAAGGTTTTCGGTACTGGTATGATCTCCACAAGTTTTTGCTTCTTCTGAAGTCCCTCCCGAAAATTCTCCAAGGCTCTAGCCCCTCGAGAGTCATAAGTTTTCATTAAATCATACTTATAAGATAACTTTAACGAATCCTTATAATTTCTTGGGTCTTCTCGAAGTTTCCCCGTCTCGGCATAGTCCTTTTTCGCGGAGTCGGATTTTTTCTCGGCGATTTTTCTCTGGCGAAGACTGGTTGTGGGGTGGAGATTTTTCCCCATCATTTCCTCCTGGCTCGTGTCAAATCAGCTTCGTCGAAGTTGATTTTCCTGGAATCCCACGGCCGCTTTCGGATCTTTTCATTTTCGCCAGCTAGTTCCGCAATCACGGGCGAATTCCGTTTTTTGTCTTCTGATTGGCCGAAGAATTTCCGCCACTATTGCGTGCCGATACTCTGCTCGTGCGGCTTTCATTTTGTTGCACTCAAAGATTCGATGGCCCGGCACCCCGCAAAAATCACACGTGTAGTTGGTGTTTTTTGGACGTGACCGCCCGTCGAACCTATCGATTTCCATCGGGTCGGCGAACGTGGGGTGAGCCGAGCGGTCGCCCTATCGCGTACTGTCGACGTGCGCCCGTCGTGTTCCAGTGTTGACCATGTCACCGCTCCGCTGCCAAAGCGACGTTCACTATAGCTCGCGTATTTTGTCGCTGCTACCTGTCGTTTGACTTCGGTCTTCAGCCCGGCGAGATACGATTGTACTTTTTCCCCTTTGGTCAGGTCGGGAATGCGGTTATCAATCTCCGTATACTGCGTGTCAGGTCGCCCTCCATCTGTTGCGTCTACTGCGCTACACTCCCGACTGTCGATGGCGATGATTTTTTTCCCGGGCAAGGTAACCCGAATTTATCGGCTCGAAGCGTTTCAACAGGTCGGTGCGGAACTGCTACCACCTGGCTTCGCCTTGGATGAAGGTACTATTACTGCTAATCCACTTGAGTGACGGTCCTCACAGCAGTGTCGCCGCGAGTCGTACGCGTTGACCGTCCCATACTGGTGAGCTCCATCCGATGGCTGCGAACTAGATCTCCATGGCGGCGATCCATCTGCGCGCGCTGGAATTTCGATCGCTCGGATCGAACGGCTCAGGTGGGGCGCGGTTTCGGAGCCTCGAGAAACTGCTGCGACTGTTGCATCTTCGCCGTTGTTGTTTCGTGCTGCGCGCCGGCGAGTCGAGTTACTCGCTCGAACTCGTTTCGCCAAGCTTTGCGATCAGCTCGCATCACCTCCTGAAGGGCGGCAATGCTCGCGAGAGCTGCTGGGGTAACCTCGGCGTTGTCCGAGTTCGCCATCCTGTTCAAAACACGCGCGGAGGGTTAATTAAAAAAAGGCGGAGCTGGTGCTTACCAGAATCGGTGCCGAATCAGTCGCCCCCTGTGGTTTTTCGAGGCTGGTTTTCCCACTGCTTCTGCTTAGCTGAGCGCGGCTGAGTGAGAAAAGCTCTAATTACCAAGTGTCAAGGATAAATGTGTCAGGGAAAAGTTGCACTATCGATTGATACAAGGCGCTTTTATACTTCCAATGCTTATCAGGTAACCTGGTTTATCCTATCCGAAGGGATTAGACCCTTCTAGAAATAGAATCACCCTGCGTATAGCCACGCGAGGCTATTGGCTTTAAGGGATTACTGCAGGATTACGCTATATATAGTGCGCCAGTACATCCCGAGCCTGGTTGGTGATATAATCATAATAACATGATAAACGAAAGGATAATGGAATAGGAGAAATAGGAAACCAAATGAGATGAGATAAAAAGAGGAATGAAATAGAAGGGAGATATGGAAAGGGAAATTGGTGTAACGGGGTCGTACTCTCACAATGCTGATACTATTCTCGTAGCAGTTTCTTGGTCAATGAGTCAGCTACCATGTGACAAGCGGAAGCAATACGTGAGGTCCATTGTGGCCTTGTCAATTTTGTCCTTGACGAAAATATACTGTAGTGCGATGTGTTTTGTACGGTTCACGAACCCCAACTTGTTTGCAATCTTGTCATAGTGTAACTTGGAGGTCTGCAATGTGGTTAATTTTGCCTCCTGGAGGAGTTCCAGCAGGTAGAGGCCTTTGCAAACCACAGCAATGGTGGCAATGAATTGAGAGGGCAATCAGTTCTTACCTTAAAGAGTTCCATGAGATAGGACCTGTTGGTTCGAGGCTGAAACAGAATTTAGTGCGAGAGTGGCGATTAACACAATCGGTGGCGTGATCTACGATGACATAGTCGACGAGCTGGAAGGACGAGGTAGTGAGGGTCGAGTAGGTGAGGCCGGTGTGAAGAGTTGAAATGAAATATTTTAGGGCGTGCTGTAGATCCATGGGGTTCTCCCCATGGATGTGCTTGGGGGAAAAGACAACGGCGAGCGTGATGGCGAACTTAGTAGCTAAGGTTTCGGCGTACTTGGAGGCGCAGAGATGGATGGTGTTCGACGAGTAAGAGATGCTGAGCCCGAGAATGAGTGATGGTGTTGAGAACAGCACTGATCCTGCGAAGGCAGCAAAAGTCTGCCGAAGCAGCATATCAACGAAGTTTGCAGACACAAGCCCTGCAGAAAGGCCTGTTGACGAAGAGATCATTTGTCGATAAGGTGAGGCTCTGCGGGAAAAGCTCGTCGCCAAAGAGTGGTTCCTTCGAAGAGCCAGAGGTGTTTGAACAGGGGCACTTTTTCTGGCTTCTACAACGACATGTGTTTCTGTGGAGTTGGCCTCGGTAGGATGGGGAGTGCAGAAGCACTCTGCCGATTTGATGCCAGGGGATGTTCACAGAAGAGATTGTCATCTGTGGAACTGCTCGCGGAACACATTTCGGCAACCGACCCCTCGGCAGAGTCGGAGTTCGGTATAGTGCTGGAGAAAGACTTCGGGCAATTTGGCGCAAGGACTCGTTCCTGCAGAATTGCTTGATGCCGAAATTCGGCAGCAAGGCAATTCAGCAACTTGTTCTACATGCGACCCCTCGACAGAGATGAAATTTGGTAGAAGGGCTAGAGAGAGTCATCTCGGAACTCGGCTCTGCGAACGATCCCATCGGCATAAATCAGGACTTAGTTTTCGGGAAAGTATATCGGCGCTCAGTATTAGGGGCCTCGATAACATATATGATCAGTGACACAATTAAACAATCAGAATTAGCGAGTTTGCAACATGTTTCATTCGTCAGGTTCCATCGTTAGTCAGAAACTGCAAAAAAAAAGTTCCACGAATGGTTAATAGAAGTAACCCCCGCCTGTCTCGAAATGTTTTCCCGCTCGCACCAGCCCAATTTTGTCATCATTGTGGCTGGCGCGATATTTTTCCCGAGCTCCGGGCGCAGGTCAAGAGAAAATGCGCAAAATACCCAAATTAAATTTCATTGTACATTGCGCATACAAAAAATCAAAATTGAGACTTCGCGCATGTCTGTCACACAAGCTAATAGGGCTACAATAGGCCGCACATCAGGTGCGACATTTTTCAAACATTAGCAAACGCACAAAAACAAAAACATTTGAGACGAAAGGGAAAATCTATCCGGGATCGGCGCCAAGACAATGAGGCGTGAATATTAAAACATTGAGAAACAAGAGAGATGTAGTGTTGGTGTTGTACCCACTAAGAACATACACCTATCTAGCATATAAACTTCTACATCATATCATATCTATAAGTTAACGACCCCTAGGCTAGATAAGGGGTAGTGCTAAGCAAGAAACACGCAGCTCAGGGTGGCACTACTAGTCCAACCTCTGAGGCAGGGGTCTGAAGACCAGTCAGCAAGAATAAAAACAAGACAAGAGCAAACAAGGGAGGCACTACCAGTGCGACCACTGATAGAGAAGCCACAAGGCCAGTCTGAAAGGTATAAATATAGAGTACACAATCAAGGTCCTAGCAAGTGAGAGTATACAGGAACTAGACCAAGGTGCAAACAGTGCCGCTGATGATCCCTAGGCACAAACGCCTTAGTAAAATATAAGTTGTGTTGGCATCGAAGGCCAAGTGTACTACACGGGCCTGGCGACGCTGCTGAAGCTCGCGCAGGAGGAAGTACCGCAGCTGGATGTGCTTCACTCTGCCCTCAAATTGAGGCTCCTAACACAGGAGGAACATGGCCCTGTTGTCAGCGTACAGAATCAGGGCAGAGCTAGGCTGCTCACTAAGTCAGGAAGCAAAAGGTAAGCTTGCGGAGCTCCTGTGCCGCCATGGCACCTGCGTAGATCTCAGCCTCACAGCTAGACTGGGCAATAGACGAGGAGCGAGTGGACCTCCACAAGATGGCCCCTGAACCAACGCTAAAGTAGTAGCCCTGGGAGGACCTAAGAGTCTCAGCGTCGTCTGCCCAAGAAGCGTTGGTGTGCCGAGTAAGGACCACTGGCCTGCGTCCTCCAAGCACTAACCCCATGCCCGATGTACTTGCTAGATAATGCAAAACCCTCTTAGTGGCTGACCAGTGCTATGGTCGGTG